TTTAAAATAATACTAACGTGATATATTAAAATAAATGAGTACATATTATAAAATAAAGTTCTCCCGTTGCGTCTGTCTATCTGTCTGTCTGAATGCGAGAAAACTCAAAAACTACCAAACTAATTTTCATACGGTGTTCATCAACGGACGAAGTAACTCATGAGTAAGGTTTAGGTGTACAATTAATTAAAGTTTTGTGTAAATTAGCTGAAATATGACGATAATTGTTAAAAATGTCACAAAAAATTATTCCAAATCACTGGCGTGTGCCGCTTAAGCCGAAAAAAAATATATGTCAACAATGTACCTATTACGTATTTTTTTTAAAAGATCTATTATACTGTAGCAACGCTACTTATACGTACTTAGAGAACCAAAGCGAAGCAAGGGTGAGTCGATAGTTTTATTTATGACATATCGACATAACTTCGTATTTTATTATGATGTTATGAACCACTATTACTTTGTATAAGTATGTAAATTCGCAAGTAAAAGGTTTAAAAATAACTTAAACTAAATCATACTAACATCACAGAAATATACTGTCGGTGGCAAAACTTAAAATATTACGACGAAAACTGTGTACAAGTTCTTTATTTTGATGCTAATATGAACTGCTAGTTCGCAAAGTCCCTAGATAAATTATCGGAGTTTATCACTCGATGTCATAAAGTTTTTGGACGGTCGCCTCTTATATGAATTCGTGATCGCCTTTGTCATCCACGCTGTAAAAACAAAAGCTATATTTTTGTTATTGTTCCAAAGTGATTCATTTGTAATATAATAATTGTGCATTTTTCTTATAATGATATATTTTTATATACTTTTATTGCAATAATTTGTATGTATGTGTATTTTTTATATATACATGTATATATTACATGTATTTATTTCTGTAAAAGAAGAAATATAATCCATACATATGTATAATAAAAATGAAACTAAGCCGAATCTGTACATTTAATATTTTTTGAAAAATCTTATTGAAATAAACATTATTATCGATACAGAGGCCGAATCTATAGCTTTTAGAATTTTTGTCTGTCTGTCTATTACCGCATCACAGAAAAACCACTGAAGGGATTTTGATGAAATTTGTTCAACATATAGGATACTTTTTCCGCGGGAAAATATCTCATTTCTGAGAAAAAAATATTAAAACTGCAATGTAAGAGTATACATTAGTATACTCTACATATTAATGTAAAACCAAAAAAATTGGTTTTTGGTAATCTGAACGCGGGCGGAGCCGTGGGCAATACGGCTATACATATATATGTATGTAAATAGGCAACAACAAAACACTTTAGAGCCTTTTTCTATGTCTTTATTATTTTTAGTCAATTTTAAGTTATTAATAATTTACTGTTGTAAGTTTTTTGATATATAAGTCCAAATAAGAGAAGTATCTAAATAACTGTTATTTATAAGTATATAATAAAAACAGAACATATTTTTTTTAATTATTATTGTCTCATAAAAGAATCTTAATCAGTAGATATACTTTGTTTTTGATAATTTAGCTAAGGCATAAGCAGAAAGCTTTGGACTTTGTAAATTTCCTTTAAAAATGTTAAACTGTCCCAACATAATAACGCAGGCAAAAATAAAGGGCCAAAATTAAATTCCTTACAGCCCATAAAGTATAGAGTTACGTCATTATGAACGATGAGAATTTGCGCCTTCTCATTCCACGCACAATTTTTTCCCTAAAAAGCATATTTTTGGTAAAAGTGTCAATTTCGTGATTTTGGTAATGAGACTGACCTAAGTATATAACTATGTATATAGTGACTAAGCACGCTTTTTGCTATAATATTTCCTTTAAAATATATGATATTTGTGAATGAAATTTGGTTTGATGATAGCTGGTTATCCGGGTCAACATATAGGATACTTTTTACTGAGGGAAAATATCTTATCTACCATATTAAGCGTTAAAACATATCTAAGAACGAACCCGCGCGGATTTGTAAGTTTGTGACGTTGTAGGGGGTAATCTCTGGATTTACTGGACCGATTTAGATGAAATTTGGTAAGAAGATATTTTGAGACCCTGGGAAGGACATAAGCTACTTTTTATTCCGGAAATTATCCCTAAGTGGGTGAAAATGGGGATGAAAGTTTGTATGGGGAGTCAATAAGAAATATTTATATTATTGTATGTAACACACATACATATCATAAGAAGCAAATTTTGGATTACCCACCTAGGTTGAATTTCAAGATCGTGGTAGCTTTCTTATAAACTACATTGAATTAAGTATATAAAGATAAAAATATCTTTAAAAAATCTTAGAAAAGATTAAAAGATAAACGGTAAAACTAGTTGACGAAAGCTATAATTTACAATACCATCAAACAAAAAGTTTTTTTTTTATCCATACAATATACCTGAATAAGGTCAGAATCAGTGATCGATAAGTATTAAAATATAAGTTGCGGCCGAATGAATGAATCATTACTGATTTCTATTATATGCGTACTTCTCTACGTTACACTCCATTTGGTAAGTTAACCAATTCTGGATAAATGACCTATGAAGATCGATTGATTGAAAACTGCGGTATACGAATAAAGCGATTTTATTTCGTGTATATCTATACTAATATTATAAAAAGAAAAAATGTTTTTTGTATGTTTGTTTATAGTAGATAAACTAAAAAACTACTGGACCAATTAAAAAAAAACCTTTCACCTATCAAAAGCTACATTATCGGCGAGTAACATTAGTCATATTTTTATTTTAAATATGGAAAATTTGCCTATAATAGTCATTATTTGGCGTGCGCTGCGAAAACTAGGGGCGAACGCGAGCGAAGCGAGGGTGAATCGCTAGTTATAAATAAAACCATTAATGCTACACGCTTTCAAGGGACAAACCGGGGTAGAACTTATATTAAAAATAGACATATATATATATGTATATGTATATATATATATATGTATATATATATATATATATATATATATATATATATATATATATATAATGTGGACATGTAAAGCTTGTATAGTTAACTGTATGGCCAAAACATGCTTGAATTTTCTAAATCAATAATTCAATAGTAACTTAACTGTATATATATATAATACCTTATTTCAAGTAAGAGACTTGGGAAAATAGAAAGCAGATATAGCTATAACCCTTAAACTATACTTATTTTTACTTAAATTACCTAACTAAATTGAAAAACATATATCGTTATTTTAAAATTCCTAAACACTTCATTATATTACCACCCATAAATTTTAAACTTCAAAACGATTTTTCTAATTTATAACAGTAAAAACAATCATTCAAAAAAGTCACCCTCATTCTCTTTTACCTTCTAATGACAAAATTAAATAATCGAAAATTACGTTACTTATTTACAAACGCAAAATAAAACTTGGAGCTTTAATAATAAGGCTCTAAATCGATTGATATTTTTTTAATAGAAGGCGTGAAGTTCTCTGCGTCCCCTCAGTACACGGAAGATACTATTAAACCATTTTAAAGAGTTCAAGATTCAAATCTAATGCTGCGTGACGATCGTATACGATACGGTATACGACAAAGAAACTTATCTGTTTAAACAAAAGTCAATCTTAAGATAAAGGATTTAAATATAATTTTCCTTGTTCTATAAAACATATGTTCTCACGGGTAGTAGCCGTAACCTAATAGCAACGTAGCATAAATATTTTTAAATGATATTCATTTCAAATATATTATAATGTATTGAATACAAAATGTCAAATAAAATAAATAAATATTTACTTCACTAGGTTTAAAGTAATATTTAATAAACCATATTATTATAAGTTTTTAACTCACAATTTACGTTCAAGTTCCTAGATTATAAATAAAAACTTAAAAAAAACTTAAAAAAACCGATTTCCAGGCACTAAAATGTAAAAAATAACTAAACGGGGGTTTTCATTTAGAGTAGATACCTAATCAGATATTTTCGAAATCATTTAAAAGCAGGTAATTTGTAAGAAGAAAGTTTTTTAACAACATATTCGATTAAGCAATTTATTTAAAAAAAATAATTTGTTTGTTGGTTTTTAAAAAAGCCCTTGATCGATTTTGATAAAATCTATATGGGATCACCTGAGAAGTATACCCTTCCAAACAAAAAAAAAATTTCAAAATCGGTTAAAGCGTCTTCGAGTAATCGGTGAACATACATAAAAAAACAAGATTTCGAGGAATTGAAAACCTCCTCCTTTTTGGAAGTCGGTTAGTAAAAATTATAATAAAAATAATTAATATTTATTGAAGCAAAGCGTCTAATTATGTTTCAACACCTACGAATTATGATCTCACTATCTGTATTTAAATAAAAAAATATACGTTCGTTTGCGCAAAGTTTAAATAAAATCTCCAAAAGCTTTCACTGAACATTTAAAAATATTTGCACATATAGGTCCATAAAATAATTTTATACCATGGAAGTTTTTATGCTATCCATTTTCCTGTATCCGATCCTACTCGCTCTAAGAGTGCAGCATCAAGTTTACACATGTTAACTGATCTCAATGAAAATTGGTACACGCGGATTTTTTCGTATGGAGATTTTTTTCTATAGCTATCTCGCCAATGGCGTTGCCGTGCAAATTGACGACTATACAGCTCGTATTGTATATAATACTAGCGACTCAACCTTGCTTCGCTCGGGTTCGTCCCTAGGTACGTTTTAATTTTTTGAGCGGCACCCTAATTCTTTTTCTAAAATAAAGAAGCCTATGTTACTCATAACATCGGCTATCTTCCAGTAAAAGTTCCGTCAAAATCAGACCAGCTGTTTCAGAGATTATCCGGAACAAACAGACAGACAAAAATAAAAAAAAATGTGTTTTTCTTATAAGTACCGTATATAATTTCATATGCATTTAGTAAAACGCTGTTTTTTGAAATTACAAACAGACACTTCAATTTTATTTATCTGTATGGATGTATATAGCTTAAGCATATATATGTATGTACTAATGTATGCTCTTTTCCTTTACAGGTGAGTCGCAACAACATGGGGACGATTGCGGTTACAGTTATATAAGTGAGTGGATATTATACATAATCTAAAAGATTATTATCTTACAAATACTATGATTATTATTGCGAAATGGCATTGTATTTTACTAATGCAGACTTTTACCTCGAATAGTGTGGGTTCGAACCTCGTATGGTGCTAATTTTAGATTTCCAAAATATCATATCCATATTCAGCGTATATCCCATACTTAGTGAACGAATAAAAACATGAGTTTTAAGTCACTTCACTAAATTCTCTCTGTTAAAAATAATAACGTTTCATGAGAAAATCTCACTTGAAACGTAGCAATTTTAACAGGAACTATTTAATATAAAAATTACTTTAAATGAAACACTACAAAAAATGAACAACAAGTGTAAAAACGTTGGAAATAGCGAACTATAATCACCACTACAATTAAAAATCTAGATAGAATTGCTCTCGAAAACAAACTCGGCGCGGATAAGTTGGTCCAATAATAAGATTGCTGGCCGAGTCCTAGTCACCTTTAAAAATATTCTGCGAGAATTTCCTCACTTTGATTATATTGAAGCGTAAAAACAGAACAGCTTTGCTAACTCAATTAATAAACTTCCCTTTCGGTAAACTATCGAATTGAACGTGAAGAAAATATGGTTCAATCGATAATTAAAAATTCAATCCTGAAAACTTTCTTTGGCTTTTCCAATTTGCATTGCGAAGTTTTAAAAATACTGCGTTATTTCGAGAGCGTTTTTGCTAATTATGACTACTATTTTTATAACTACTTTTTGTTTATTGATTTAATTGGTTTGAGGCACAAGCTCAGTAGTTATTATTTTGTGCTAAATTCTAAAGATATTTCGACTTTCGTCATGAGATATTTTCGCTTATTTTTCTTTCGATCTTAAAAGAATAAACTTTAACTCTTGGATAGATGGCAAAGAATACAAGACTTTAATACTTTAATACCACTATCAATATATTGCATGATGAGTGTCTGTTTTCAACAAAGACCATCTGTCTGTAAATAATGATTTAAATAGAAACACTATATGAATCCTTTTGTTATTTACAAATCTATATACTTAATACCTAACGATGACATGGCTAAAGGAAAATAAGCAGTGCTATACCAAACGTTCGGGGTTCCTCCTTAAATTTGCAATTCCACGCGCGTCTAGCTGTCCACATTGTCTCACTTGCACCCACTATTTCAATATCTCTGTCCCTGTTAGCTGCATTCGATTGCAGAAAGCCGATTTTCAGTGCGCGACGTTCACATTTGTTTCTACTTCCGAATAGAATGGTGCTGATTTTGTATTCGCCATATGAATGGGATTCCACTGGAAATGCTCGTTTTTAGAACGGATTTCTAGCTTAAAATAGTAATGGCTACGAGAATTTATTTTACAAGGAATGTTGAGAGATGATTGAAATAAATGAAATATTTTGTTCTATGCCAGTTTTATGACATTATTAAAGAAATTAAAAAATGTTCACATTTATATACAATTTACTCAATTATAATTATTTTTTTCTGTTACAAGGAAAGAAAATCATATTCAACTACTTTACTATATATTTTTCGTTCCAGTTATTCCTTATCGTCGGTAGGAGATGTTCTATTGAAGGGTCAAGGTATAACTCAAATATGCACTCTTCACAGCTTTAATCACTTAACATATTAATTAGAAACCGCTAGTGACGTGCTTAACACCACAGAGAGTTCACAATCAGGGTATTGCATGCTAAATAGTAAATACTATACAGGTACAGCTTATCTTGCAACTTAGAATATGACCCCTGTTTACTAAATAAACATGTAGCGAGCTAAACTTAATTGACAACGTCAATCTTTTAGGGTATATTATAAAAGAAAGCACAATGAAATCTGTCCAAATGCTTCTGTATATTGTGAGTGAAATCCTTGATGCAAATTTAAAAAAGTAAATAGCATTCACATCACCCTCATTTATTATGTGACGTTGTGGGAAATAAGTTACAATAATATTATATAAATGAGGTCAAAGGATGCTGGAATATAAACATGAATGGATAAAATGTTTGACCGAAACAAAAACAAAAACTCAGAGTCAATTTTCATCCTTTGTTATCCCCAACCCCACAGCTTCGTTATAGAATCCAGTTAAGTAAGGATAACTGGTAACCCCCATGAAATATTACATGCTATAATTATTCCTTTTTCGCCTCTCGAAGGCTAGAATCGCTTTCATAGCGCACCTTTACGAAATATGCTTCTCATAACTCCGTACAAAAAATCCGCTGTAATTTAATGCGGCCTGGTAAAATAATATGTAAAAATTCGCCCAGGGATGGGATATTTGGATCGTTTCGGACAATTTTGGTCAATTTCGACCAGTTCCGAACATTAAGGGCCATCTTTCGTGCCTTTATCGGTCCGTAGCGAATATATCAGGATATTATTTCACCCACGAAATATTATTTTCCATATCTAATCAGCGTGCCAAGAAATATGGTTACGTACGAGTCGTGTTATGCGTTATGATTTTTATCAGACACGAGTACTATTTATTTCGTCCATAGTGGGGTGGATCGTGTTTCATTTTGCGAACCCTTCTGTATACTTATTTATACTAAACTATGTTGTAGACATACATACATATATTTCATGTTAATAATATTTTGTATATTTGTTAATCTGCCATCTTTAAGTGCAGAGGATATAATCGAGATAGTAAACTCTGATAAATTGAGTGCTAGACGTTTTAGACAAGCGAGATGCAGCATCTATTTCTGGCGCGGCCGCAGCTTTTCAAATTTCAAAGAGCTCCACGAAACTCAAGACAAGTACTCGACGAACCGCCGCGCTGTATCTACAGTGAGATTTTAATCAAGAAAATCTTCGTCGCGTGCTTAATCAAAGGGGAAACTTAAATAGTTAGCGGCGTCATCGGGCGCCCGAATGGTTGCGTCGACGTTGATTTGATTATGTCGTCAAATTTCTCTGTAATTTATCCAAGTAGTTTCTATGTAGGATGTCCTTTCTTGATTCTGTGAAGCAACGTTGATTGAATTTTATCTATATCGCCCGTAACTGTACTTGTAATTCATTTTTACTTATAATAATAAGGTGCTGCTACGCAATTTGCAGTATGTAATCGATTATTTAACACTCCTTTCTATTTAATAATGATTCAGCCCTTTTTCAACGTTCTAGTGCTGGGCTTTATTACAAGCTCATAGTCCATCACGCTGGTGCAGTGCTGATTCACGGATTTCACATGTCTTCCAATAACTGGTTAGATTCTCTCAAGCATGCCGATTTCTTCACAATGTTTTCCTATACCACAAGGAAAAGTTGAAAATGATCCGCAAGACCCAGAGTTTGAATATGCATTGCAACTTGGTTTTCAAAGCAAATGCGTTACCACGGGGCTACTACAGCCCTTGCTATTTATTTCCTTATTTTCAATTTAGGTCGATAGTTCTAAAATTAATATCAATTTATTCAATCTTGATCATAATATTTAAACATCGGTTTGCGCTAAATAGCGACTCGTTGTCACAAATTAATCGTTTATTTATTCACCATACAATTTCGTCGTTACTAGCGTTACTTACGTTACCATACTTTCTCAAGGGACATATTACTTCAACAACTGAAATGCGAAAGGCAATATAACACAAGTTGTCCATTATTAACTGATATCGATAATTGCCGTTTAATTCGAAATACTAAAATATTAAGGCGGTCTTAACTATGAAGAAGTAACTCCGACGGATAGAGTATCGATTTTATATTATCGAGTTGTTATACGGAGCGAATCGATTTTATCGCATTACATTTGTGGACAATGCGGTCGAGGCGCGTCTGTCTGTGGTCGCAAGCAATTTTCAACCTTACGCGCCACCCAATTATAATTTTAAAGTGAGCATTATTCTAACAAGTTTGTATCACAAAGTTTATGAGATAGTTTACTGATAAGTAATATAGAAAACACTAGAACCTAGATTGTATGATGACACATTATTACATGGATATTTGCTGCTATAAGCTAAAGGAAGTAGTTTAAATTATGAAGCTTTACTACATATTTTTTTATTTATGTTTTACATTGTTTTTGTTTTGACGAACTTTTTCTGTTTGTAATATAAGTATTTTCTTTTTTTTTAACGTTGGGAAAAGCCTTTACGCATACCACCTGCACGCATACAGGTTATGTGGGACTTACCGGCAAAGTCAGTACTATCCACTATAACCTCCCGCGTCTTAATTGGGGCGTCGCAGAATCGCTTAGACTCTCAACCACGACGCCCCGACAGACAGACAAAAATTCTAGAGACTATAGATTCGGCCTCTGTATCGATAATAATGTTTATTTCAATTAGATTTTCCAAAAAATAATTAATGTACAGATTCTGCTTAGTTACAATTTTATTATAATATGTATAGATGTACAGTCTGGTAAATACTCGTATACCTATGTAATTCAAGCATAAAACTTTGGCCTTGAGACTTATAAACAAAATTATTGACGCTGCGGTGTATGTGCATGTACACTAAGCTGAAATGAATATGCTCTAACAATGTTCAATTCAGAACTAAACTATAAAGCTAAAAGTTCATAGATTTTGTATGTCTGTTTGTTCACTCAGAATAAACAATTTATAGGCGGGAAAAACTTATTTATTGGTTATAAAATACATCAAGCACTTCCGCTGGATATTTTATTAATATATAGGTATAGTGCAAAAACTTTACTCGTTTAACATTAAAGAGAATAATAATTATACTTAAATAAACCACCACTGCTTAAATCATTCCTAACATAATTTAAACAAAATGCAAATCTGCCATAAATTGTCAATAAAAGCTAAAAGCTATTCAATCCTTGAACCATGACGATTTATAGTGTAAGTTTTAGATGGAAAAACTTTGTAATCTTGTCTCCTAACAGCATCCCTTCGGGCACAGTTTTCTAATGTTGAAAAGTGCAAGATCGGATTATTACTATCCTAAGTAAAGATTACGTTGAGTTGCCATTTTACTGGGGTTCAAG